CCAACATAAGGATTGATAAACCCCCTTTCTTTCATCCGGGAGTGTGTGTTCGGCCCGCGGCCCTGCTTCTCCGCCGTGTCGACGAAACGAACTCGGCCCACGCCACGCCGTGGGATTCTTCTTGAGCGCGTCTCGATGGAGCAAGGTGTCCTGACGCGCCGTGGCCGGGCAAAGCCGCCATGGCGGCTGCCAGGAGGCAGATCGTGCGGCAGAAGGGTGTTGAAAGTGGATCAATCTAGCTTTCCAAGACCTTTGTTAAAATGGTTGACCTAAGTTTTACCGTGCAACATATCCTTAGTCAAACAATGGCTGTCTGAATCTGAAGGGATTCTAGTCACCGGAAGCGCCAGTGGAAGCTGTTCGACACAAATTTCCCGACGCGTCGAATCAGGTTCAGTGTCCAGGAATCAGCACTGCAAATCCACCCTTGAACTCAAACAAGCAGTGGTTTCAGAGCAAATGGACCCTGAAACCTCTGTAATGGTTTTTACCGAACAAGCATTGTTTCACTCAGGGTCTTAGACTACTTACTACTTAAAGCATCGTCAACCTTTCTTGTAATGGTCTTGGAGTCTTTCACTTCTAGGGCTTCTCCCGCATTCAGAACACTTCAACACAGCCTCGAGCGAAAATCATGAATCCAAATCCACCCTCCCTAAAAAAGGAGTGGAATATTAGTAGAGAAGGACCTTCTTCCTGGAGCATCTGGTGTCTAAAATCAATGTCCGTCAACTCAACCCTTCTTCTTCCAAGGCTTCGAAGGACCTTCTTCTTGAAAAAACCGAGGTGTCTAAAACCCGGAAGATCCAGAAACAAACACCAAAAGCAAGCCCCTCCCACCCGCACCACGAAACACAACACCCCCCCCGACTTTCCCGGCAGTCCATGCCAGACGCTGGCACATTGTGACGCCAGTCGCCCAGCTGGTCTTGCACGAAGTCCCGCATCTTGAAGCGGGCCTCGGTCGACCGCGTCATCCGAGACGACTTGACTCCGCTCGGACGGAACGGGTCGGCTCGGGAGGTTGGTCCAAGCACCGAGGGTCGGCTGCTCTTTTTCGACCTTCGACATAGTATAGTATGTGAAGAAAATATGAAGCCATGAACAAGATACGCACCAGCAGTCACAAAGGGGTTGTGTTGCGTTTTTTTTAAGTGAGAGGATAATGGGCACCCCTATAACTTCCATTAAGCGCCCTTTTGTGACTGCTGGTATATAATATATGTATATATATATATGTGTGTGTGTGATTATGTGTGTGTGAACCCTAAGGTGAACAATATATGAACTCTGACATTCCAACAACATCACTGGTCATTGTTAGGTAGGGTCACTATCCAGGCTGTCAAAATTATTTTCCTTCAGATGCCGTACCCATTGGTTTCAACAACAACCACCACCGAGTTGCATTAGACTACAAAATCCAGCTCAACCCTTTTTTAACATGGTCGAACTGAAGGCTAGGGCAAAGACTCCCACCCTTTTTCAAGCTAGGAGCTAGGATGGTCCTCCCCACCTGACCACAAAGCCCCAAAACATGTCGCTAGTAGCGCACCCCGTGCTGACCCACCCAGACCCCTCTTCAGCCGCTCAGAGCCGCCGCAAGCTCCACGGGATCCCGCCTCCGTCAAGGCAACGAAGGTGGCGTCCACCTTCTTGGCGTCCGCGAAGGGCTTCGCCAAGAACTGCCCCAGCCTGGGCCGCGGACCGGCGGCCAATCCAGGCGGAGGGGGGGCGTCTGCCTGGCGCCTGCGCCAAGGCGCGCGCGTCTGCCAGGCGTTCGGCGAAGGTTGGGGCCGTTCGCGGTGGGACAGAAGGTCTGACAGTTTTGGGGGGTGCACATCCCAAACTGCCGATGTCTTAGTTTAGATGCTTGCTCACCAAGATGTTATACCAGCGGCGGCGAGATGTTTAATTGTTTTATGTGCCACGCAGACTAGGATTGAAGGAATGGGAGCTCCCCCGTTGTGCGATGCCCTTCCGCCGCACGCCATACCCGGTCCGGCCAAGAGACATTCCCACAAAGGGATCAAGAGCAGCCTGAGCTCGGGCATGCAAGCAAGTGGAAGGCTTCTGCGCAAGTGGAGGGCCTAAGGATTCCAACCACCATTAGATTTCACAGGCTGAATCTCGAACCACCCTTGCTGCACTAAGGACTTTACATTACAATATCAGGGCTTTCCCATGGGCTGTCCACGGTCCCGGACTCCCAATGGAGGACAAAAAAAAGAAGGTTGTCCTTCAGGAACTGGCGGCTTCTCCGACCCCGTCGCGTGCGCGTTCGCGGCGGACGGCTTTGCTCGTGGTCCAGGGCCTGCAGACCGCGCCGGGTGTTCCGGTTCGATGGTCTCCCCCCCCCGACACCCGCAGGGCGTCACCGCTGCGGCGATCGGACCGCGATCGGACGCGGAGCCATGTTGGCCATGTTGAAGTTGAAGAAGCGCAGTCGGATCGTGGTCGGCTCCGCGAAGCCTCAAAAGCAGTGGAGCAGCTTGGTCAGGTGGGTCTTTCTAGTGGGCCTGGCATCACTGGCTCACCATGCATTTGAGTAGGCGGAATCACGAAGCACCAGTGTCTTACTTAGGAAGTTACACCACAAAACCACGTCAACCATGTTCTTGCAATCGACGATCTTGCAAGTCTAGAGTCGACTATACCGACCATACCTGCTACCTCAGTCAAAGGTGGCGCAAGGGGGACAGAACGTCACGACAGACGCACGTGAACCCATGCAGCTTGCCACGTGGAGTTGATGTTCTGGATTTTCCGCCAAGATGATCTGAACCAAAATGAACATATCATCCATGCACATCCTAACTTGCACCCAACCTCGCACAGATCATCCGTTCGCGCACTGGCGAATACACCGCCCGTGAAAAAGAGTGGCATGCTTTAAACAGGATGAGCTCACCGATGCCACTCCTGCTTAACCACCCTCCTTCCCTCCCATCCCACCCCACCAAGTTTGAAACCCAAGTCACACAGGCATGGGGCCTGGGAATTCGTCAAGCCACTGGGGACTTGCCGACTTCTGCGCGCTATCCCGCCCGAAAAAGGAAGAGAACATGCAATTATCAAGGATGTCGGACAAGAAACACGTACAGTCAGTGTAGAAAGGATCTTTTGCTAGGACATGTCCTGTCTAAACTAGACCCCTCCCAACTCAAAATCCATCTGAACAGAATCACTTCTACACCAGCAACCCCTCTGGGGATTCTGGCTTGGGGAGAAGAAACCTCCAGCTTAAGCATCCATCTCATCAGACATGACTGGACCCGAGGCGCTGTCCATCTCGCCGTCACCTAGCTGGCAAAAAAACCACCGGCGGGGCAACACTCAGATCGCCTCCCCAAACCGGAAGGCTTAATGAAACGGAAAAAAGACGATTGCTCCAACTGGGTGGAAGCGATCTCGCATCCGCCCTCACGAGGGCAGCACTCGGTCCCTCTGTCCCTCTGTCCAGATCCCCCCCAATCTGAGTGGACCCCGAAGGCCCTCCAACGATCGACCGGACCGAACCCCACACAGCCCACACAGGGAGGACGGGGTGAACGACGCCCACCACCGATCTCACTGCTCGAAGGCCGAGGGCGGCGCCGCGCAGTCGGAGCCGATCGCAGAGACCCTGTCCTGCCGGGCTGCGGGCTGAGGCGAGCGGGCGCGGACTGGCTGGGGGAGGTGGGGGAGGTTTGAGACAGGGACCCCCCCTGAAGAACGACACATACCGAGGTCAAGTGACCGGGACCATAGGACCCGGAAAACCAGGGATACCTTCTTGGGTAGTCCAAACTAGGGTTCTGACCCACCTCTGCTGGCATTCCATGCTGTAAAGAATGTTGAATGAACAGAGGTGCTGCGGTTGGAAAGATTCGGGTGGTTGGACGCGGCATGTCGGACCATGTACCATCCAAGGACCATCTTTTCGGGGCGGTGCTGGAAGATGTAATGTATTAGCGTGTAAATAACCTGCGTATATAGAATTATGAATTACACTCCCTGAAACAATCATGGAAGTGGAACATAGGCCCCTGGAAGATTATTTTCCTCTACAAGTGAGGCCTGCGCAGCTTCCATGATTGTTTGAGGGGGGGCATGTATATAGTTCTATAGTTAGGATTGATCAAGCCAATCATGATGGCTATAGAAGTTCTGTGAGATTGTGCGACATCGCCAACCAATTGGTGAGACGGACGCATGCGGCATAGATACACAAGTTGAAGGTTTGGTGATCCTCCTGGCCTTTTGACAAGAGTGCCTTAGATACATCCTCAGATCAACAAAGCCTAAAAGGGCCTTGGCTCATCTCCACGGATGAGCCCAGGGAACACCGCGGCTTCTGGAACATCCACCAACACGGAAGACATCGCTCCCTCCTGCTCCACCCTCCACTCCCAAATCAACGCCTCCTTACCCATCGTCTCACAGCAACATGGCCGGCTCCGCAGCTGCTAAGCCCTCAAGCCAGTCCACAGGACCCCAAGTAGCACTGATACACTTAGGGCTTAGGGTTTTTGCAAGTCATGGTCGTCTTTGAGGAGCTGCTGAGGCCTCTTGACCAATGCGAAAACCTCCTTGAAGATTTTGGGGGACTACATGGATCGCCCACCTAAGGCCTCACAGGACCCGGCTCCCACTAGGTCTGGCTGAGCAAAGCGGAGGCCCGCGCGGAGGCGTAATCGCGTGAAGAAAACGACGAGATCCAAAGCCCGCCCGACTCGCCGGAAAGACGAAGGTTCTTACCCTGGGGCTCCAGTTGTACCTCCTCAGTGTTTAAGTTTAGGCACCTTCAAAACGAAGGGCACTTGGAGCTCCCTGCGGGCTAGGAATTGTCAGCTACCCTGGCCCCCCCCACCTCTCCAACAAAACACTCTCGACACCAAATCCCGAGTTTGGAGGTCCCACACCTGGGACCAAGGACCAGCACCCCAAAACAGAACCGTCCACCAAACGGCCCGGCCTGGGCCAGACACCTCCACCACAAGACCCTCCCTCCGTCCCACCTCAAGGTTCCCTCCGGCGCACCGATGGGCGGGTCCAAAGGGCCTCAGTTCTGCGAACACCCGAGGAAGAGTCTGCGGAGCTGCTGGTGCAGCAGCCCACTTGCAGGGTGCGGCCTGCTGTACTACACCGGAGAGGGAGAAAAAGTAAAACGGCCAAGCCGAAAAAAGGCCGAAGACCCCCTCTCAGTATTTTGGCTGCTCGTTGTGCTTGTGGCGCTTCTTTTGGCCATCATGGCTGGCTACTGTTGCATGTTAGTCCTTTGCCTCCCAACTGAGGTCGTTGCGTGCTCAAGCAGAACCACAGCAGGTCGCAACCAATTGCCCCTTAAGGCTATCTGAGCCCTTGGCAGCAACAGCCTTGCGGCGCGCCACTGGCCAGAGACCATTCCTGCCGAGAGCGTCGGACGTGGTGGAGAACACCGCGGGACAGCAATCTCCGCCAAGCCAGTATAACAAACTGCTATCAATTGCTTAACCGTGACTTGATCGATGCGGAGAGCAGCAGCCCTCCCCTCAACTTGGACCAAGGGTCAAGCATTCATCTTGGAGGACTGGGCTGGCTGAAGGGAGAACTACCTAGACCTCGCAAACTCACAAACAGCTGATTCTCAAACCATCACTCCGGCAAACACCACTCAAACCTCACAGAGATTCACCCACTTCCGCCCGCGTCCGCCCATACTCCAACCGCAGCCCGGGGCCCCCACCCGCACAACTCCCCACACCCCACTCACCGGACCGAGCGAGCCCGGGCCGCGGACCGCCTTGGAGCACCAGCTCGGCGGCGCGCGCCCCAACTTCTCGCAGCGCTTCTGCGCCAGCTTCGTGATGGAGCGCACCGCCGTCTTCACGTAGCCGTGCTGCGCCCGCGGACGGCGCTCCGCACGCCGGTGCGTCGCCGGGTGCATGCTGGTGGGGTTCGGTGTGGGTGCATGCTGGTGGGGCGTGGCCAGTGGCGAGGCCAATCGGTTGTTGCGCGCGGGGGAGAAGGTGTTCGTGCTTGGATGGAAAGGGGGTTCAGCTTGGAGGGTGGTGTTGGACTGTGGAAGGGGCAGGCAACCTGCGGAAGTGTTGGTTCTTTTGTTGGGGTGGGTGGCCCGGGTCATGCTACATCTAATGCTCATATAACGCATATGTTGTTCCAAATGGGTGTGCATTACAAATAAGGGGAGGCCCTCCCGGCGTTCCAGCACTAGACTTGTCTACCCAGCCCAGGGCCAGGGAGCCTTCATCTGCAGCTGTGTCTTGTAGTCCCACCTAGGACGTCTCGCTCGCGTCTCCTTCTGGCTCTCTTCGGTTTCGGCGCACCGGACGGGACGCGATTTTTTTCGGGTGGAGGCCCTTTTTGGAGGTCCAAGACCGAAGACTGGACCGAAGAAGGGACGTGTTAGGAGGTTCCCGGCATCACTTGGAGAGAGAGGGCTTTTTTGAGACCTGAACGGCTCAGACCCCGTAGGGCTGTAGTGGTAGATGGGCGATGGGGTGGGCGATGGCTTGGGGGCTGTGATGTTCAACGTTTCTTCGGGTCTGGGCTCCCCAGGAATCGGGAATTCGTCCATGCCATGCAGGTCCATAGGCTCCCAAGTGGGGGGGGAAGGAAGGGGCAAGAGCAAGATCCCCTTTCTTTAAAAAAAAAAAAGGAACTCTCTCATGCATGAAAGCTTCCTTCCAAGCTATCCCACGCTTGAAGCTGTCAAGTAGCTTCATGAGTGGGGCGCTCTTCTCCAACGCATCGCCATCGAAGCTCTTCTTCGAACCTTTGATGCGCTCCCTGTCAGCGTTGGGAGGACGGTACTGGAGTTTCACGGCCAGCTGCGACCTAGAACAAGAGCCTAAATTCCTCCAAAAGTTGACCCTAGAAACCGAGTTTGACCACAAAGAGGTCAAGGAATTCCAAGCTTCGGCTTACCTAGTCAAACCGTTCTGAAAATAGTCGACTGGACTCCCAGGGTATATAACCCCGGGGTCCGCTCTCTTTGAGCATGGAGGGTCGCCACCACCAAGAATCTGGAGCCCAAAATCCGCCAGCTGCTCTCCACCCCGGCGCCTCAGCTCCTTGAGCACCGGGATCTTCTCTTCGGCCTTCAGCTTTTTGCTGGGCCCATTCCTGAAGACTTGGCGCACGCGACCCGGGCGCGTGCAAACGGCAGGTGTCTCCGAGAGAATGGGGTGTTTGGGGTTTCTGACCTGGCCAAACATTCCAACATGTGGGGTGTATCCCAACCCCTGTGAGAGTGGATGATGATGGTTAGTAAAAGGTCTTTCTCTAAGATAGTGATAATATGTGATACTTGGTTAGCCACGTGATTGGACAACCCCCAACCCAAAGTTACTTCAGATCCAAGAACTCTAGATTCCAGACCCTTCAGATCCTCCCATCACAAGAACTATATATTATATAGAGCTGTTGCCCTCCTGATCGAGCCCCCCGGCGGATCTTCCTCCGCGGGCCGCTTCTTGCCAGCCTTGCCGCTGCTTGCTGCCGGGCCGGCCCTGCTGTGCCCCAGCGGCGACCCTTCATCAACGCCACAACGGAGGCCGGGACCTGGAAAGGTTGAAATATATAGCCCATCCCATATGTACCACTACAGGTACTACAGGGTCCTAGTTCAGGTCCCTCAACCTCTCTCGGGTCTTGTCCAAAAGTGGTGAAGAAGGAATGCCTCATCAGTCATCAGAACAGGGCATGCACTAACTCAGTCAGCAGGCTTCTACTCCAATCAGGCTTGACGCAGTCAGCGGTGACGCACCAAATCTCTAGCGACCGATGGTCAGCGGGATGAGATAGGGCCCCAGAACCTAAACGAGGCCGACCCAAACCATACCAGCACCCGACTCTACAGGTCATCCAACAACCCTCAACGAACAGCCTGGCAGTGAGGGTGCTGGTAGACAATCCTCACATGGAAACCACCTGGTGTGTGTGTGTGTGTGTGTGGGCAGATGTCTGACCCTTCAACCAGAAAACAAGCTGGCCAGTGGCTCGGACACTCCCAGCTCCTTGCTTCTCTGCTTCGAAAAGGGATGACGTCGCCCTCGCAAAATGAAGGTCTTCCGCACATCCCCCGTTGCACATCTGACCCGACTGGGGTCCCCTGCACCTTTGGCTGCTTGCCGGGCATTGACCTGCATGCCAAGCCAAACCCAAGGTAGAAAGCACGTAGTCGAAAGACTATCCAGCAAGTTAGACGTTCCGGAGCAAACCGTGTGAATTCTGCGCATTGAAAGCTGGAACAATGGCCAATGCATTGGTGCACCTGCCGAGCAGGTAGGCTTCTACATGGCCCGGACCATGAAAAAATCGCTGATTCCTGTCGGAAAAGCGCATGCTTGGTTGGCTAACATGGCAGTGGACGGAATGGTAGTTATTGGCCATTGGAGAACGACTTTCCTCTACAAACAGGTGGAGCCCACTTCCATGTCGGCGAGTTTTACAGCGCAACGCAACTTCCATGTCAAAAGGTCGGCTTCAACCCACGGCCACCTGTCATCGCACACCAGTCTGGGCCTGAACTTTGGCCTTCTTGAAGAACAGTTCTTGCTCCTTGAGCTTCGTCTCATCCTCCAAGGTCACAAAGGCATAGTGCCACGGCTTCTTCTTCCGCACCCGCACATTGGGCATCCCAGCCTGCATGCGAACACTGCGAGTGATGCGTAAAGAGCAGCGACGATGCTGAGGAAGCAAGGACGAAACATGCCACACAAACGCAAAATGAATTGCTTCAAGGTTGGAGGTGTCGATTCCATCCATTCCACCCCAAGTTGTGAGTCTGTTCTTGAGTCCTACATAGTCCTACCAAGGGGCCTCAAAACCATGAAAAACAAAGGTTTTCACATACAAAAACCAAATTTTTTGCTAGGGAAAACCAGGTTTTTGATGGTTTGTGGGCCCCTGGTAGGGCGTACCTACGGCGTACCTACGTTCAGCGCCTTCTGAGCCACAAACTTCGTGAACGAACATCCATGTCCCCACCTCAAAGGAGGTCAATCAAGTACCCCTGGGAATGTCGTTGGGTTAGTGCCCGTTTCCGGTGCTCAGCCGAGCCAAAGTGCTAGCTAGCTGCTAGCAGCCTCCACCAGGTGCTAGCAGTGGCCACCGGAGGTATGTTTTTCCAACCAGTTGACGGGGAGGTGAATCATACCCGTAGACTCTAGCTGGTGGGCGTTGTCAGAGGGTCCGATCCCCCCCCAAGTCAGGGTTCTTCTTCTCCATCGCCCTCTCAAGAGTTTAGCCGTTAGCTAAAGGCGAGCACACAAGCCAATGCCAGGAGGGTTGAAAATAAAAATATCCGAGACCACCTAGCTAGTCACCGGAACATCACTAAGTTTGTGAGGGGCATCTGACCAAAGGTCCAGCCGCAGGGAGGTTGAACGGCCCTTTATATCGCCCATCCCATATGTACCACTAAGGTCGGCTCCTCGTTCAGGTCTCAAAAAACCTCGCTGGGTTGAAAAACAGAGATCATCTCTTCACCAGTCTTTGCCCCCCGCGTCTCTTCCGCACGCCACGCGTTGGTGTTCCGCCCACCGCACGCGTTGTCCGAAAACACGCGCGTTGGGTGCCCATCGTGCCCGTGGAACCTCACCTCCGCCAGCCACTCTTGTAGCGCGTGTGGCTCTTGCCCTGCGTGTGTCGGCGCACGTCGCCGCTGCGACGTGGAACATCGACGTGAGGCGGGCTTGAAGAGCGACGAGCAAGTCACACGAGTCAAGTCGTGCAAAAGTAAGAAGTCATGTAACAAGATATGGCACACTCTGCACTACAAGTAACAAGAAACCATGCGGATTGTAAAAGCTCTTCGTATAGGGGGTTGACATATGATCAAGAGTCTACCTTACAAGTCCGCCAGAGCAACAACCCCCCTGCCTCTGAAGGCCTTGCAGCTCAGATGGATGCCACCCCGGCCGTCCTTGGTTCTGGCATCCCGTCTTTCATGCAGCTCATATCCCAGCGCTTTACATGAAGCTTCGAGAACATGTTACAGGAACTGATATTTAGTAACTGATCTAGTAGCGCGCTCCGCGACTAGAGGCTCTGACAGTGGCAAACACCCTGCCCGCACGTGCCCCCTTTCTCCATTTCCTCCCCCTGTTTGCTCGCCACACCTCCGGCACAGTGGAGTCCTCTGGCTGCTGCTCTGCCGCGGAGGGCCTTAGTCCGCAGACAAAACCGGCAGTGCGAGGGTGCCAAAGGCCCTGACTGACCCCAGCCCCCACGGCCTTCAGAAGCTCACATGGAAGTTCAAAGGCTTTAGGAGTCTTCATGCATCTCCTCTGGTGTCTTTCATGGTCCACTCCATCCGCGAGTTCAACTTCCTCTGGTGCCAGAGAGGCCCTTGGCCCCCCCACTGCCCAGCACTCTTCTCGCTCTCCAAATCCGCCATGGCACAAGCGAAGTACTAGAGTAGGTAGGTCAACCGTTCTTAATGGTCTTTTTGAAAGGCTAGGGAACAGCTGTTACACGGATGGGGTTGGCTCAAAGCCGCAGGGCAAAGCCGATCACAGTGACTCACCAACTTTCTGGTTGGATGGAGAGGCTACTCTCTTTACCCATGAAGTGTTTTTCAACTTCCACTTTAGTGAGTCTCAGGGTTTTGGGCTTCATCTGTGCTAAAAGTGTTGAACACCTTCACTGTTTGCTGCAGGTGAGCCCCCCCAACCAAGGAAGAACCGTTGGCGCACTGAAGTCTTCAGCTAGGGCACGGGGCCTCCGGTCAGAAAAACGAACGCCCAAACAAGATCACACGATCTGATCGCTGATCGCCGGTCTGAAAACACACAGGACCCACCCACGAATCCAACAAGGACTTATGTGGTAAGTAGCTTCTTCATATTGGTACCGACTCAGTGGGCCCCCTTGTCTTGCAACAAGTACCCCATCACCCGATGGAAATCAGCATCACATGGAGTGACTCGTGGTGACTTGCACTGACGGAGTTGCAGGGAGTTGCACTGACGTCGCGGCTCCGGGGCTCTGGAAGCACTCTGGTTTGCTCGGTTCTTTTTGGCTGGCACCTCTTCGGTTAAACCGTTGCAGGTGCCTGGCACGTCTCCTTCAGTTTCGATGCCACTTTCGATGGCTGCAGATGGCAGCGGATGGCAGCAGACACTTCAGCTTCCTGAGCAAGTCAGTTCCTCACAAAGATCCGTTTAGAAGGCCAGGTGTCACAAAAAAACGAGGGAGCCACTCCTCTCAACTCTCAACCCCTGGGTGTCCAGAAATATGCTAAGAGAGGTCGCCAAGATGACCTAAACTACTAGGACGTTAGGACCCGGAACACCTGCCCTATCCCGGTCCGCCTGGAGGGTAGCCAACTGGGAGAGTCCGATTTTGGGGTTCTGACCCACCTCTGCTGGCAGTCTTGGAACGTCTGGTGTCTTCACACAACAAGAGGCTTGAACCAAAAGGCGGGCGGCTTCTCTTTTTCCTGGGCAGCGATGTTCGATCTGATGTCAGCCCCAGCTGCTACTTTTTTATTGTTACCAAGCGGCTCGCAATTCCATGGGCACCTGAGTTTCTTTATAGTGGACATTCTATGCTAACTCCGGAGCATCCCTCAGTACAGCTTCAAGATTGCAAGATTTCGACCGATCCTCAGCGCTGAGCCACCAACGTTCGCATCAATGCAGCACTTGCGTCTTTCAAACCAGCTAGCTGGCAACTGACGATTAAGAACCACGGCAACTGTCCACCAAATCTGGGTGCTTAGCAGCAATTGGTTTGACAAGATCGACCTTCATGTCCTTTGAAGGAAAAATCGTCCACCTGGATCTCATGGTTTTTTGCCACACCCAGGTCTACCATCTTGGAGATCAAGAGCGTGAGTGAGATTGCCTTGCAAGGATCCCAAGATTCACTTGCAAAAACCCTCCACATCCAAGTCTTACCCAACTTGACCCCACTCCGGGCAGAGAAAACCCGCTCCGCGTTCGCGCCAGAAACCTCCCAGAAAACCCGCTAAGCTCGGGCCAGGTGGCTCGTCGCGGTCTCTCAACGACGATCATCGTCTGAGTACTCCTCGGGCGACGCCGAAGGATGAAGGCGACGGTGATCGGGCGGCGGTGTCGGGCAAACACACCACGGGTGCCGGCTAACCAGAAGAACCCAGGTTGGCACAGGACAGTCATGCAGGAAGAGCAGGACAACTATGGACAACTGATGCACCAAAAACGACAGTTGTGCAAATAACCCCCGTGAACACGAAAAGACTAAAAAGGATGTTGATTTATCATCAACAGCATGTGAGGTTTTAGGAGAAGATGCAGTCCCACTCTCTTGGGCAAATCTTGCGTCCCCAGGTTCTGCTCGTGCTACGTGAAGTGATATGCCTGCCGATCTTCCAACTAGCAATTTTGCCACCTTGTGGCTGGTTTTTACGGATGAAAAGGCACATGATTCTTCAGAGTTGGAAGATCCAGGTATGGCAAGGTATGGGTAAAGGAGGGTAAAGGTCAGTCCTAGGTATGACACACCTATACAGTACACACCTACATCTTCATACGTTGGCTGTGGCCAAGAACATGTAGTCACTCCTCCCGAATCCGGCTGCACCCCTCTTCAGTCCATGCACTTGACAGCCCCAAACTCCCTTTACAGCCACCATGTCACCATGCACAAGCCAGAAAGACACTGCTTAATCTTTAGAAAGTTGGCACGGCTCAATGCATCGAGCCCCCCCACAACAAAAGGCCCCTGAGGTGACTCTTCCCCCCCTCCCCCCGCCACCCCAAAATGGCCGTTCGCCGCCAAAGGCTCGTACTCCGATTCGTAGTCCCTGCGCCGGCGCCGCCGCTCGCGGTCCCCGCGGCGTCCGCCTCCACCGCCCCCGCGGCGGCGGGAGTCGTCGCGGCGGGAACGGCCGCCACCGCGGCCACCATCGCGGCCGCCACGGGACTCGCGGGGTGTACCACAGGAGAAGCAGGCATCCTGACGGAAACGTCGAGAAGTCATTGACCGGCGGGGGGTTGGAAGTCAGAGAGTCAAAGCCGAAGGTGGGAGGGAGGCCGAACGCGGGATCGGGGCGAAACAGCAAGAGAGGGGGATGCCCAAGAACTGTGAAGGATGAAGAATCTATACATACAACTGAAGTGTGATTGGGAAGTTGATGGCTTCGCCTCTCACGGGCGTTAACCAATTCTTGAGAGAGTAGTGAGTAGTGCTCACCAAAAATAGAAATATATATTATATATAATATATATATATATAAAGTAAAAAGACACCCACCAGAGCTGCAGTCTATCCAACAACCTCAGCAACTTCACTCGAGCGATCTGTTCAGCATTACCAACCATGGCCACCACACGCCATCCACTCGACCCTCCACACGACGTGACCATCTACCTGGCCTTGGTCGCGAACACCAGCTTGCCACAATTGCGGCAAATCCAGTCTCCATCGCGCTTCTCAATGGGACCTTTCCCACCCGGATTGTTCACCACTCCTGATCGTCCGCGCCGGGGGACGTCCGTGGGCGTCTTCGCGCTCGCGCTCCCGGGGAGAGAGGCTGGGTCCAGACAGGTGGACGCTACGACACGAGTGGTGGACCGCCTGACATGACAACCCATTGTGCCGTGGGGGCCGCCGGACATGTTTTTACCAGCCTTCGGCTAAAGAAGTACGGACCAGTCAAACCACCAAAGACTAGATTGGGGGGGGGGCAAGATTCCGTGACAATTATATATAGGAACCAACCTTTTGAGAAGGAATGTCATTCGGTGGGTAGTCCTTAAAACAGTGGGATGATAAGACAAAATGCCTGGATCTTCCAACTCTGACGATTTGTTTGCTTTTTCATCCATCAAAAACAGCCAAGTGAGGCAGAATGTTTGCATATTTGGAAGAAGGCCCCACTGAAAAATAGCATGGACCCTGAAAACCACTGGGTTTGTAGAGGAAATCCGTCTTTGAGGGTGCCATTCGACCCGGTTCCATGTTAACTGTTAGTTGTCGGGAGTGTAAGACCATATGAAGTTGTCGCACCCTGCCCCCAACATGATCATCGGCCCGCTCTTGGACCGCTCGGTGCCTTTTGAAGTGCCGCTGTGTTCTTAAACCGACGGGTCTCGGAATGGAACGCGGATGGGGAACCAGGAAGAAGTAGAAACACAAACAGAAAGTTGAATACAAGTCTCTTGGATGGCACTGAGTGTCACAGATGTTAAAGTTTTAAAACATATATTGAATAATAAGAAGAAAAAAACACCGCTTCAACACAGCGCCACAGACCCGGTGGAGCTTCGGTGGAAAGACAAGAACGAAGAATACCACCGACTCCCACTCCAGAACCCACGGCTCGCGCGCGCGCGCGCGCATGCACATGCGGGAGTGTCCTCGCATTCCACCCGGCGCGTTCCATGTGAGTTGAGTATCATCTATTCCTCAGGACACGGCGACGCGCCCTGCGCGCGCTGGTTTGGTCAAACGTGACCCCTGGGTGTCATCAAACCAAAGTGTTTCAAGTATACCAACAGAGGTTAAGTGACCTTATAGGACCCTACTGGGGTACCTATGGGATAGTCGAACTAGGGTCCTGACCCACCTCTGCTGGTAGCTTACCCCTGGAAAGAGATTCGGATGGTCCATGAACCAACCCGAAGGTGCCGAAAAATACCTTCAGGGACAAGATGGTCGGTCTGAAGGGCCGAGCATTCAGACGTTCACCCTTGGAGCACGGTTCGAACCTCTCTTCTGTCGATCCGATTTCCAGCCAAACATCCAAGGCAGAACAAAACCATCTGACTGGGCCCCTTCTTGGATCTGGGGCCACCTGCGCCTGTGGAAGCGTCTGTAAGGTTGGAACACAAAACCATCCTGGCACAAAACGGTCTTCCTCCCGTGTCCCCCCATGTCCCTCCCACCAGCCGTCCGCACGGCCAACCCCCCAAACATCCGCGCTGCCGACCCCCCCAAACATCCGCCCCTCCAACACGCAACCGACAAACGGCCACTCGCGTCCTTCCTACAGAGGTAGCCAGTGACCGTAGATAGGACCCGTCACCAGGAGTACCCAACTAGGATAGTCGAACTAGGGTTCTGACCCACCTCTGCTGGTTCACTCCCGCCAGGTGTCTCACTCCCATTTCCTTCAGCTCCTCTCGCATGCGGTCCGCCTTGTCAAAATCACGATCCCTCCGTGCCGCCTGAGGTCGGAGGCTGCGCGCAAGGTCGGAGGGTCGGAGGGAAGGGAAGTGGATGTGGGAGGTGGTGGGACCAAGAGCATCAATTGAGGTTTCGGTTGAAGGGAAAAGCTGCAAGCTTGTTTCAAACCTATGGCCTTTCCTGCAGGTTCCATGATACATCGTGAAATCAATTTTGGGAGAGAAGAAGTCCATGTCCAAACTGCCCTGAACAATGCTCAACCATTAGGCGACCAGACCAGACATGCTCAACCTCAAAGGAAGTCCACTGAGTCTGACGCTTTTGGACCCAATCCTCACACACGAAACGACCATCAGAGCGGAGGGGGCTCCGGCATCTGGTGGGGCCTGGCGTTCATCCACCATCTCCTGGATACGATCCACATCTCCTCCACCTCCTCCACGTCGGCCGCCACGGGATCTGGAGCGGCTATCCGATCTGGAGCGTCCACGGCCCATCTCTGCGTTCCGCCGGAAGAATCCGAGACGTAGACGTCTGAACTCCCCCCCTCTCAGGCTATCCGAGCCCGCAACTGCGGAAAGTTCACGGAGGGGATTTCAGCATATATAGTTCCATGTCAAACAAACTCAACAAGAAATCCGAAAAAAGCTAATCCACACGGAAGAAAAAAACTGATCCACAAGAAGTCCAACAAAAAGAAAACGAGTTGGTCTGTGCATCAAGAGGTCCTGAAAGTCACCACGTGAAGAGGATGAGAGGACGTCGAAAACATGTTTCAACAAGAATCTAAGTTGGAGGCCCTGCAGTCTGGCACTTGGCACTACTTGGCCTGTGCTCATCCTCAAGGAATTGCAAGTTGTTTCAATGGCCGCATAAGTTAGCTGCTCCACAAGGACCAGTTGTTTCTGCTCGCCACACTCCAAGTCGCACCGAAAAACACCCGGCCATAGCTCGCTCACAACACCTCGCCCAGCCAGCAGGCAACGAGTGTGACTCGTAGCGGTATTGTACCTTCCTTCGTCGCAAGAGTCTCAACAAGTGGGACATGATATATAGTGGTCCCCAAATATATAGAAACGGTTTCCAATACCTTTTGAGAAGTGCCTTACGTTGCTATCTATTTGGGAGTCTGACATAGAGTTCCCAGCTAGGAGCATTCCTTTTTGATCCTTTGTGCAGGTGTCCCAAATCTTCACTTGACCCCTTCCATGGGGAAGGGAGCCAGTGCTGGAAGCTTTTCCAAAAAATGAAAGGACGAACAGTGTAAAAGTTCAGTGAACTGCCAACAAAGGTTGAAGAACCCTATAGACACTGCCAGTGGGCTACCCCAGGTTTTACGGGTCCTATGGTCCCGGTCACTTCACCTACCTCTCTGGGTGGTCATTGAATGGCGGGCGGTCCCATCGTGGACCATGCGCGACTTGGAGAGTGTAGGCACCCGGCAGAAAGTGCGCGGTGCAAGTGGTGGGGCACCCTCAAATTGGGCCCGTCGTCTGCATTCGAACTAGTCTACCGTTGTTGACCGTTGGCCTGGCGCTGAAATTCTGCGGTCACCGCAATCTGATTTCAAGGAAGGAGGGGCACTAGGCTTTGCAGGCCGAACTCACCTCTTTTGCGGGAGTTCTGTTACAATTATGTACAGTATATAATGACATCTCTTTGGGTTCATCTGTTGCGGACATACTGCCAATCGAACTCATTGACACCCGACACTGTTTTAGATGTTTATCAAACTCCGCCGAAGGAAGGAGATGCATCGCCGGATCCTACCTGCGCTCGAACAAACCTACGCTCCGCCCGCTGCTCGGGCAGCCCGCTGCCACCCAAAAACCGCTTGCACCTTCGTTTGAAGCGGTGGCCGTTTTTCTCTCGGAGCTGGCCCACCGGGCCCCTTGTGCTCCAGTCACTTCAGCAAGTTGGCCCACTGGTCCTTCTCCTCGGTCTTCGACCGACCGTCGGAGAACGCCGGTCGTACCACCGACGGTCGTGCGGTCGTACGGTCCGGCCGGTCAGGTGCGTGGGTTGCCTCTGCTTGGGTGGGTTCATTGAGCAAAAGAGCCCAAGCAAGAAATGCTCCCCCACCCGAACAAACTGGACGCTTGTTTTGGATTTAGAGTAGGTGGCAAAAAATACCCCCAAGTTTGGTGGTATACATGGATCCACATCTGTCTAAGACATCTTGGAGTGCTAGTGCCATCGAACCTCTGAAACCACTGTGCTTGAATGGCAGATTCAAGGCCACAGACCATTTCCCAAAGACCTCCAAACACACGGGTGCCCAGTGCCAGGCGCGGTCTGGCGAGCCGCATGTCACACTTCATGGAGGATAATTCAGTGCTCTTCAGTCCTCAAGTCCTCTTCAAACCCGCTGCCATATTGAAAATGTAAGACCATGTCTGGTCAGGAGGGTTCTATGAAGCAACCATTATATAACCTCACTTATTCAAGCGAGGCTCCAGCAGTTCCATTGAAAATTCAACAACCATCACCAGATTAAATTACCCTGCCAAACGGCCTGCTCATCCACCTCATCCCCAAAAACAAAAAACCGCTCCAACCCCCACCAACACCCGGCTATAGAAGAATGAGTGTTCAAAAACGAGGCACGTTCTGCTTGGTGAGCATCACGTTTAGCTCGCTGCCGCTGTTCACCAAGCACCAGGTGCAACCCTCGGCCTCGACCTGCGCAAAGGCCGGCGGTGAGCTGAAACGGCCCGGGGCCGCCAGAACCCGGGGTCGGCATGATAGGATTCATCACAGGAGGCCTTGAAGCGAACACAATGAATTAGGGAACTTCTAATGTATGCAGTCTCTTGGTGATATTTCAAGCCACCCATCACGTGAAGAGCTTCGCAATCCAAATGGGGAGGTCATATAGATAATCAAGAGTCTACATTATGGGAAACAGGGGAGGCCTTCCTGCCGATGTCAGATGTCAAGGAACCCTCTGCTTGGCATGTTGCAGAATGCTGAACATAGGTGAAGTGGGGCAAGTGGTGCGAGCATTTTCCTGACAGAAAACCTGAAGCAAACAGGTGCATGATCAGCACGATCATCTCTATTCACCTTTCTTCTTCGGCGGTGACTATGTTACAGGTAGCGCCAGCGCATTTGGACTCTTGGGTGCGCCAACAAACTTCCCGCGAGAGTGATGCTTGCAGGGGTCGCGTACGACCGTCAAAAAACGACCTCTGCTGTTCCGGGGGCATCCGCCGAAAGGGCTCCAGAGGCCTTTTGGCTGTGCTTTTGCTTGGGCCCATGCACCCGACGAAATCCAAAAAACACCTGTCCTACATCTGTCCTACTTGTAGCTCATGAAAAGAGAAGAAAAAATACGTTCGAGAAATGTGCCAAACCTCTTCCAACGCGGTTGAGGGCAGTCAAACTCTTACCAACCTTCATTTCCTCTCCGCCTAGAAACCCGGCCGCTTGGCCCGGGCTCGCAACCAACGCGTCACGCGTCACGCGTCACAGCCGCTCCCACCCACCGACTTCGGAGCCGGGATGACCCGGGCCGCCTTGCCCTGCAAGGAGCCCTGGAGCAACGTGTCACCTGGTGGCGCCGTGGCGCCGGATGAATGAGCGGTGAACGGGACCGTGACGCTTCTCCGTGAGAGCCAGCGGCTGATTCCCCCCTCCGGCAGGCGAACTGGACCACCCCAAAGAAGGATGATAAAAAGGGATGAAACAATACCGTGACATATTGCTGTGAAAAAGGTCTCCGCTTTCCACACAGGCCTTCAAAAGTTTGAAATTATATGGATTTCACATTGCAGGACCCTGCTGTCGGCGCTGTCGGGGTGTCCTGGCTGAACTACCCCACACTACCTATAGGCTTCCAGGCAGGGCAGAGGGTCCCGGTCCATAAACTCTACCCTCCAAACTCCTGAATGTGACTGTGCCCGTCTGAGCGTCCATCCCCGGTATGGCATGGACATGTCCAACGATGCGAGGGGGGGTTGTTCCAGGCCAAGCGGCTGCGACAGCCCTGTCCAGTGTCCAAACAACTCATGGTTTGAGAACCTTCAGGTTTGAGGGTAGGTCTGGGGGGTCTGGGAATTCCCAGGCACCAACTAAGCAGGCCCGTTGTTCAATTCATCATGGAGATGAAAAAGCACCTGTTGGTAGAGGAAAATGGTCCTCCCTTCATGGCCATGCCATCCACGTAACCCGAATTCTTTCAGGGAGTTTTATCTATCTCGCCCACTCCAATCTGCCCCACACATCGCCAAACGCTCTGCTTGCTGGATGCCGAGAGGCCATGCACCTGCACTAGAATGGAGCTCTGCTTGAACTGGACCTTCACCTCGGGGGTGAGGCGAACCCATTCCCCCCCCACAACCCTAGGCCCTAGACTGGAGGACCTTTTGTGGAATTGAAAGGTGGGTCACTGCGGGTCGTTCTGGTGAACACGGTCACACTTCTCCACTCTCCGAATCCTAAACGAAGGTCTTTCAGGAAAGCACTTCCCTGGTTGAGATCAGGCGAAGTGAAGGTCACGGATGGCAGTCTCTGCTCCCTTTTCTTAGCAAGGGTGATGCCAGTGCCCCTGCTGATCGGGTCAATCCACCCAGCACCATCTCGAACATGTTGCTACATTAACCCTAGGGCTCCTGGCCCATCTCCTCGGGAGGTGGTTAGACCCCCCTGGCACCCACCCCAACCACCGAACCTCAGGAGGTGGTTGGAGCCCTAGGGATTAGAAAGGTTATCGATTTAGGCACCAAATGGCCTCGTTGAGGAGGTTGAGGACAAAGGGAGACACATGTTTGTCATCATCAACGGTGCCTAAATAACCTTTGTCAAGTGGCATCCTTCTTCGATGCGGCCTTCGGCAAGGTAAAGGCGATCTGCACCTCCTCGCCTTGCGATCATGGGAGCCAGCAAGAGCGTTTCTTCTGCCAAGACCTTCGTTTGTTCTGGACATTTGATATGTGGACCTCTTCTGCGGATGTGTATGTCCGTGCATGTGTCTCTACATGTGTATATTGGCAAAACTGTATGTCCAATGTTGGTGTGTAAAGACAGAGATGTTGTACACATATGCAAAAATATACGGTATATATACTTGAGAGAGGAGGGGGTGAACGAAAGGTAGCAGGCAATCACAAGTAACCCGGCGCAGGGGGGATTTGATCCAGGGAGGGGGGGCCCCCCCCGACGAACAGAATCAACTCTTGCAGGACCAAATTCAATGCACAATCCCAACTCCTGATTGTAATACATTTTTGCTAAAGCAAGGAGAACTCAGGTAGCTCAAGCTACCTTTCGTGATATATTGTACACGTATGTGCATGTCCCGAAAAGCGTTTCATCCTCCCACTGCGCTGGCTCAGGCTCAAACCCTGCTGGCTCCAAACATACCCATCCTGCGCACGTGGGGCGCCCGAGAAGGAGGAAAACCACTTGCCGCTCTCCGACAGGCTCCAAGAATGTCCCCCGGGGCCCAAGCTGAACCCCATACACTGGTGCCATGATGGATTCACAGAGCCTCCTCAGTGTCCTGGCAGGAAAAGAAACAAACCGAACAAAACAGCCAAACAGCCCACCTTTGGATCCGGTCCATTTGGGAGGCCCCGGAAGACATCGGGCGCGAACAGTCGGTGTGGGACGGCGCCGAAGGGGGGTTTCTCTAAAGGCCCTGTGCCGTGCCGCGACGCCGCTCGGCTCTGTGCGGCCTCCTCCTTCTCGACCTCTTCAGCTTTGGCCGTTTCCGGAGGAGCACTGCCGGCGCCGCCCTTGCCACCTCCCTGGCCAGCAACCCACGGAACCCACGGAACGTGCAGCCCGGCCGAGCTGCAGCTGCAACACACAGAACGTTCGGCCGGTGGATGAGGGTGCGACTCTATCTATGCGCGATAAAAATCTCAGAAATAAGGGTTGATGCAACAGCATCTGGAGTCTCAGTCTGTGGGCACGTCGGATAATGGGTATTCCTGCACCTGCTTTTATAGGGTCATGTCACATGTCCCATTTTCTAGGGTACTTTGGTTGATGCAACACTATCTCTTGCATCCAACTGGTCCAAATGGTGCCGAAACGACCGCCCAAAATGACCCCAGGACCACGGAAGGGGTGGTTATTGGATCGAAAATGCATAGTCAGGGGTGTCCATAAACCCCCCCTTTCCGTGGTCCTGGCTGAAGTGGAGGGACCAGCGTGCGCAAATACATGTAAATACCGAAAAAAGGAACAGTATAACCTTCCAAGATTGCCAAAGAACATGAGTGATGTCGGAGACTTCAAGCTACTTTCGGTGCGACCCCTCGACTCGGACTTCCTCGACTCAGGTGCCCCACCTGGGCACCTTTGCCACCTCCCTTGCCCATCATGTCTTGCAGCATCCTGTCCAGTGACCCAGCAGGAAGACAACAAAACGAATACAAAAACCGTAGAAAATCCGCGAAAGATTTGGAAGAAGTCTGGGGCAAATGTGCTGAATGACTCTGAATGATGTGGACGTCCAAGCTGCACAAGTGACCCACTCAGTAGCTCCCCCAAGTTTTGCCCTGCCCCGGTCAGCAACCGGCGGAGATCGAAAAAAGTTTTGAAATTCAATCGTGCCCGGCTGGAGGCTTTGATCCCTCCACCCTCCAAAACACAAATGGCTGCACCCTCCACTCTGAGAAGCTCCCCACCCGGGCCCGGGCCTACCACCACCCAAGTACCGTCCAAGGCACCCCAGATCCATACCACCGGGGCCGGTCTCCTTCTCCTCGGGCAACCTGAGCGCTCACGTGCTCTTCAAAAAGGGACCCAAAATTCGGAAAGCTACAGAAACATCGCTGGTGGTTTTTCGATTTCATAGGTGACGATGGGGGCCCTCATTTTGCTAGTATGCATTCGTCGGAACAAAATGATTGGATTTCCTGAGAAAGGTTGACCGCTACAGTATACTGTATACTCATAACTGTTTAGTCTCTTTCGCGCTCGAGATCCGAGCATGTCCTGCGGCAGGCGCAGCCTTTTTTTTTGCACGGGCCCAAGCCGTTACCCTGGAACACACTAAACTCGAAGAGCTCATTTCCAACTCGAAGAGCTCGTTAGAAAAGTAGATCGTCACTTTTAAAGATGTATTGGATTTCTATCTGAGACCAATGACTCATGAGCTAGCTTGATCATGTTCGTAGTTTGGGTCTTCGTGGGTAAGATCGATCAAAGTGGTTGTTTGGAGAAACGTCCATGTCTTTGTGCTTGGGGGGACGCTCTTTCGCCAGAAACGTCACGTCGCCATGTCCGTGCTCCGCCATGTCCTCCACTCCACTCCGTTCCTGGGCTGTGTCTGCCGAGCCGCGTCTCCAGCCACTTCTCGAACCTCACGCGCCCGGCCGGACGCGCCGAAGGCGAAGAGCTTGTGGAATGGGGGGGCGGGGTGACGGGAGCTAGCATGGGTTGAAAAAGAAACAATGAAGGAAGTTGATTGGTAAAACCACCGGAACTACATCCCCCCAACCATCTCCATATGGGGGAGGTTTGATTCATGAACGGTCAAGGTTACAGGGCTGAAAAAGAACCGCCACCTGCTCAGAGATACTCAGCCGCTGGCCATTGCTTTGGGTTCTCTGCCGGCGGCGTGCCCTTGAACTTGGACATCCTCGGGCACCACACTGCTGCGGTGCTGCGGTGGGGAAGTCTACCCGTCTCCCCTTTGCGCTCGGCTCAAGACACTGGTTTCAACTATATAGTAAGCTACCCGAGAAGTCAAAAGGCCCAAAAAACATTAGAAACCATACTTCTTGCACTAGTGGGGGTAAAGGAAGTTCCCGAAATCAGCTCCCTGAAAGACCCATCCCTTTCATACTGTAATTCTTGGACTCTCAGTCACGGTAGGGGAGGAACATGAGATTAATCATCCAAGCCAACTGTTTTGCAAGGGGTTGGGGCTCCACAACCCGGAGCTGCTTTCGGACCATCTTCTCTTCTCCAAGCTTCTCATCTTTCAGCGCAGCGGTGGGAGATGCCTGTGCCGGACGCTGGTCTAAAACTGCGCAGCTAGCACAAGCGTAACACACGTTCTTGTCCATATGATGCACAAATGAGCTCTCGAAGCAAAAACTGACCCGACTTCTTCGCATGCACCAAAACCAAGTCAGGGGCAGGCCCAGGACCACTGATCTCTGACCCACATTCAGCAACTGAACATACCCTGCTCGGACTTTCTCCATCTCTCTATGGCCGAGCACAGCTCCGAGGTCGCCGAACTCCCTAAGCTTCGTTCCTGACCCGCGTTCTCCGCCGCGAACCCGCGAACCCGCGGGGCGGGCCGCGAACCCGGGGCAAGGGTTCGGGCGCGGAGTCGGGACCGGCTCAGAGTTCCCCCGTCTTGGCGCGCTTCTTGGACGACTTCGTCATGGTGTAGACCTGGGCGAACCGGGCCAGCGGGCGGCTCAAACGCGCGCGCACGCCCCACAAGTGATGGCTCAAAGCTCTTTGAAGCGAAAAGTCTGGCATGTGTGTCTGGGTTCCGAAGAGTCTCAAGAGGTATCATGGGGCTGAAATCGAAGGTTGATGGATTTTAAGTTCACCTCCACCCTAGTTGTTGATCAGAAACCTATATCGCCCTCTTGCTGGGATGGTGGTCGCCTTGAATGTGCTTGCCCAGGTTCGGTGGGTCCAACGTTCATGATGCCCTGCCAGCTTTAGCTACACCAGGTCCACAGGTCCAGTGTTCGTCACCACCCGCAGCGGATCTCCTGAGGGCGCCTGCTGAGGCCGCCCAACTGAGGCACCCCACATAGTAATCGTCGTAACTCAAGGCATATTGCACTTTCCAGCCATAGGAGGCGTTACCTGCACTGAAAGAGATGGTGCCAGGTGCCAGGACACGTCAAAAGGAAAAAGCTCGTCCCTCGCCAAGAAGGTCGCTTCATGGGGCGCCACCCTGAAAAATCCCCCGCCGAAATGGCCTCCATCACCAAGCCACGCCCTATTGGCAGAGCCAAACCTCTCCTCCCGCCCCAAGCCCAGCCCAGAGGGTCGGTCTTCCCGAGGGACGGAAGAAGCGGGGCGTGTTCAGCTCCTCCGGCTGGCCCAGAGACACGGAGATGAAGCCTCAGACAGCTGTGACACAGACTAGCCTCAGAAGCTGAGCTGCATGGAGGCCGAACGAATGGCCTAGACTATGCCGGACCAATCTCCAGATACATAGATGAAGGAAAGATGGATGCTTCCAAAACTGAAACCCGCGCAAAGAGGCTTGCAAGCTCGGCCACAAAGGATGAAATCATGAATGTCTTGCCCTATCCCGACATCCTCCAAAGCATTGCGAAAGCCTTATCAGGACAGCACACCGAATTGAAGACGTGTGATGCTCTCGGCCAAACATGGCTGTTCCCTGGAACTGCTTCAAACCGCCTTGCCAATCAATTGTTGCAGCGACCGGCTCCTTCCAATCACCACACACCACCTCACACCTCCCTAACGGTCCCTGCCCATGGTAGATGATACATTTACCCTGAGAGTCAAAGACTCTAAAAAGAACGGTCTCTAGGTGACCCGAGTCTAGGCATTTCCTTTACTTCAGTCGGTCAACATATAGTCGAACTGGACTTCTAGGGGTTTATGGTCCACCTTGAACACATGTTCAGTTGCATTTTTCGAGACACCCACCAGTGCCACACGCCTTGAGATCCGATCCGGTCACAGAACCCCCTTCTCCGTGCCACGCTCTCGACGATCCGGTCCGGGGCGCGGCCGTTGGGCCGCAAGACGCGGGAGATCTCGGAGAACATCTGCGGCCACTCTTGGAACGCGCCTGGGGGGGGTTTGGAGGGGGGAGGTCGCGCCCTTCTCGCTGGCAGGATCTCGCTTCCGGCCCGAGACCGATGGATCCGGAAAGCAAGGGAGCTGGGGAAGGAAGCGAGAGAGCCCTAGAAGTCCAACTTGAGGCCGAGGGTAGGTGACGAAAGCTAGCAGGGGTGCATCCGGACTGGTGGGACATCAAGCGGAGTGAGGCAAATGCTCATGAGGTAAAACGTTGTGAACATGTAAGACACACAAACAGCAATGACACAGCCAACCTTAGAATTGAAGTCCCCGATAATTAAGGAAGCGTGGCTGGACTTTGCCGCACTGTTCGATGCATCCGATGTGTTCACGAACCTGTGAGCTTGTTGAATCTGTTGCACCGTATCCCAAAACCTCCACGGAGGAGTTGAACCAGTGTGGATGCCATAAGAGGTGCCCAAGAGGTGTCCCAGAGGCAAAACAAAGCTGCTTGCATGATTTGTTTGGTTTCTTCTATCGATGTCGATGTCATGAACATGTGAGCTTGTTGAATCTGTTGCACCGTATCCCGGAGGAGTTAAGCCAAAGTGGATGCCATAAGAGATGCCCGAGAGGTGTCGCAGAGGCGTCCGAGGGGGGGGTGGAACCCACGGGGGGGGGGGGGGGGCCCGTGGTGGGGAACTTTTAGACCAATGTGCCGCCAGGGCTCCTTAGCATACTTTTCATGCAAAACCATAAGACTCCCACAAACGACCAGCAAAGCAAATCGACCTAACAAAAAAGTAATTTGCACGAAACCATGACACACACAAAGCAAAACAATGCTTCATATTTTTTTTAACCATGCATCATCAAAAAGTACATACAGACGCAAACTTGTGATTTTTTACCTTGAAATGTTAAAGTAAAAAACCACAAGTTTTGTAAAAGAACCTGGATAAAAAGGACAACATAGAACCAGACTCATCCTTACCAAAGCTCTCCCTGAAGGAAAAAAACATAGAAATCCTTTCTGCTAAATGGATACCGCTTTGTTTGATGTCTGTTTTTAAGCTGGTGACCTGGATTACCTGAACTTTGGATTACCTGAAACTTCACAATATGTTACAAACAGGCGATTTGTAAACTATTTTAGTAGCACCACAAACGTATTTAATGCGAATGCGGGGGCGAAAAACATTAGGTTTTACATTTCAGGAGAGGATAATACCTATTTGGATTTGAGTTCAGTCAGGTTGTTTGCAACTTTGCAAAATAACGATCGAACAAGACACCATTTCTTACGTCCATTAGGAGGCTTACATGCTTTTATTCAACGATACAGAGCAATAGTAGGAGGTCAAATGGATCGAAATATTGTTGAATACAATAGACACTGTGAGTTGTATGTTAGAGACATGGATGACATAGAGATGTCAGCTAACCCAAGATGGGACGCTGACTTTCATGACTATGCTACAGTAATGGTTTGGATGTATTATTGCAGGCTACTACTGCTGGTGTTACTCCAACCCCCGGTGTAGTAACTGTATCCCCTGACGGTGATAAAAATGAATGGGGTAGAATAGATAAAATATGCAGTATACAAGACACTCATTGACAAGAATTTCCGGCGCTAATGGTAAAGCCCGATTCAGCCATAAGCCTGTTTGTGGGTTGATGCAATCAAATTATTATTTACCTTTGAGGTATGCGCCTTTGGAATTAGAATTCGCAATTGTTAATGATGAATTGGTACCTATTGTAGAACCACAAGGAGGCGCAGTAGGAAGCCCGAACACTCAAACTGACAAACAAGGGTATTACTTTCAAGCAGCTAACACTTCTACACAGTGGGAATTAAACAATGTTATTATCAGAGCTGAAGTAATGACTTTAGACAACACTGTTAATAACAACATAGTAAAACATTTGTTGGACGGTGAGTCACTAAAACTGGTCTTTCCTATGTATCACACACTAACACAAACCTTCAACACAGGAGGCGGTGAATTGGATATGAACATTGTTAAGTCATCATTCAAACTCACAGGAGCATTCAGTACTTTATACAGAACACCAGGAAATGGAACTATCAATGCTAACTATTTGCCAGACAACTATGTTCATAAGCGATGGAACTACTTTTACAATTCTCAAATTAACTCATTCATCTGGGACAATGGAGCAGTAGCAAATCCTCAAGACCAAGGCAAAGGTTTCCAAGACTATGGTAGAAACTTATAATGGCAAATCCAGTTAGGCAACAAAAAGTATCCAGAGTTTGAGGCACAATCATTATCATGCAGAAACCTTCTACTATTTGCGAGGAGCCATACATTACATGAACCCGGACCAAGATGCATTGATTTTCAGTTACAGGCAATACAGAGAAAACACATTTATTATTGGTATGTCATTTGAAAAGATGGCTGACGTCAACTTTACTGGAGTTAACACAAAAATGGGTAGTTTAATGACTATGAAAATCCGCCCTACTGAAGGAACTCTAAACACTACACCCGGTGATAGCACTAACGCAATTTATGCTGAAGACATTCAAGAGGTTTTTACCCACCTTATTAGTGCAAGCGTGTTAGAAATTTGCGAACGCGGGTGTGTGGTATACGATTAAAATAATAAGTCTACATTATTAATACATTTGTCTAAAACAAAATATATTAAGAATGTTTAAGTATCATAAACACAACAACAAAACAGGCACTAAAGCACATCTTCACAAAATTTTAGTAATTTTTAGTTCATTTGATATGAGAGATACAAGTTATCTGGAGCATTTACACAAGGAACTTAAGTTAAGAAATGCAAGAGAGGACATGGTAGCATTAAGAAAGGACATGATACAAGCAAATGCTAGGTCAAAGTATCAAAATGAACTGGACAGGTTGAGAGGTGAAGTCCAAAGAGACAACCTACCGCACAACACAAAAGAACACAGCATTAAGCAACCTAAAGGCCTATTTTTTTGCATAAATATATTAACATGTTTACCTAACATATTAATATATGGCAACTATGGCATTGGAAATGATAAATCCTTATTCAAAATATGAATTGAAGAGGCGACCAACATATGATGAAATAGCAGGGTTGATAGGAGAAAATGAAACATTAACTGGAAGCCTTCCAGACAGAAGGGCTACATTTTTTAAAGCAAGTCCTGAAGGTAGCTTCTTTGATGGCATTTGAAGTATTGAAGGAAACAAAAACAGAATACAAGAGAGACAGATGAGAGAACTATTATTGAGACACAATTTAGGAGGTGGAACAGTTCATGTTGAAAGGATGAGGCAACAGAGTAGAGACACAACCCCAATAGAAGCAGAGACGCCAAGAGATGACAACGTTAATAATGCATCCATTCAAGCACAACTACAAGAAAGAGCCAGAATGGCACAGGAGAGAAAACAACAAGGACAAGCACACCAAAGTTTATTAAGTAGGAGCGCCACACCTGTTATTGATATGATATTTGGTGGATTGAGTAGAACAAGTAGCAGAGTAGGAACGCCAATGGCTCAACCGGTGCCACAATTAGCAATTGATTTAACACAAGACAACCAACGAGCAGAAGATGAAGTAGAAATGATGACAGCAAGGGAAGAACGCGAAGCCCCTGAACCCAAACAAGCAGTATTAAGAAGCATTAGCTATAGATTAAATGTAGGAACTATGAGCGCAGAAGCATTGAAATTTCAATTGTTTTTGAGAGGCTTTGATGTAGATGACCCAGAGAATGAACTACCAACAAGAGCAAAAGGCAAAGGAGGAGGCAAAACAACAAAGCAATATTATGTAGATGTTGATATGATGCAAACCGGTGTATGGCAAAGAAGAATTGAATCAGAACTATTGAAAAGCAAAATTAAAGAATACAGAAACAGACACAGCGCAAGGGGAAGTGAAATGGCATAATTAAGAATAGAATCTAATTATTATTAATCATGATTTTAGTACACAATAGACTGAAGAAATACATATAATAGATGATGATGAATACTTACATTATTTTTAAATAAGCCAACAGAAAGAAGAGAACGAAGTAATGAGATAGAATCTGAAGATGAGGCAACACAATTCCCAGAGATAGAGAACAAACAAACGCAAACCGATAAGAAAATTACGTTTGACAAAGAGACTGAAACAGTAGATAAATTAAACCGGATAATAGGAAACTATATTGTGAAGATGAATTCAAAGAACTTCAAAAGTTTAGAGCCAGCAAGTAGTGATTTTGAGCCATCAAGAAGTGATAAGATGGTAGAAGCTTTTACAAAAATGATTGAAAACCCTAGCAGTAGTAGCAGTGACAGTGAAGGCAATAGGTGATGTTTGACATAGAGGGAAATTAAAGATGGGTTTTAGATTGGCAGAAGTAGCAGGAAATACAGCTATGATGGGTGGCAGTGCTTTATTGTCAGCGATTGATTATTTGACACAAGCAGGGGAAAATTACAATGATAATGAAGAGGAAGTTATAAGCGTGCATTCTTCACCTGCAGTGAGTGTCCATAGTTCTCCACCACATTCAGTAGTAAATGTTTCATCAAACAGTTCATCACACAATCCACCCATGGTAGCACATCCAACAGATTTACCAATACCTACATCATCAAGCTCATCAAGTAGAAGAAGTAGTAGCGCTTCTGCTTCTGGTTCAGCATATCCAACAAATAAAAATAACAAATAAGTTAATATTTTTTAATAGTAAAATCATTTTGGAACCACCATCAGTATTTGCCTCGTTTCACTGTTGGTGACAGGTATCCTTTTTGGAACACCCCGTTCTTCTCTCTTCTTTTGTTGTCTGAGGCGGTCTCTGTCCCTCAACTTTTGTGCATATTCAGGGTCTTCTCTTCTCCTTTTCTTTTCGTAAAGCGCCTGAAAGATTAACATCTGCACTTTAATTTCATCCAGTGTTAGGTCCGGTCTTCAATGTTTAATTGAGTAGTCATTATATCTTAATGTATATAGTTAATATGTCTTTATATATATTCCATGTTAA